AAAAATATCACCAAAATGAACAATCTGAGAGAAGTCCACATGTAGTACCTATATATGTAATATCAAAGCAATTGGACTTGCGGTTTTTAACAAGAAGTTGAAAATATCACTTCTTACCAAAAATGACAAAAATATTCACCCAAATTAGAGAATTGAAGATATCATTACAAAATGAACAAATCTGAGAGAGGTCCACATGTAGTACGTATATATGTGATATCAAAGCAATTGGACTTGCGGTTTTTAACCAGAAGTCGAAAATATCACTTTTTACAAAAATGACAAAAATATTCACCAAAATTAGAGAATTGAAGATATGATCATGAAATGAAAAAATCTGAGAGAGGTCAACCCAAGGTACATATACACCAAGTATCAAAGCATTCAGGCTTGTAGTTTTCAAGAAGAAGTCGAAAAAGTAAAACATTGACACGGACGACGACGGACAATCACTCATACGATAAGCTCCGCTCAACAAAGTCAACAGCGGAGCTAAAAAAGAATGAACATCTATTTGACAAACTTGACAACTTTTCTTTGTTTGTTGTCTGCAGGGAGCGGGAAAAGGAACGAGCCAGAATGCGAATGCGAGCCAAGAGGCAGGATTCTGATTACAGGACCTCAGAAAGGGAAAAAGACCGAAAGAGAAGACGAATGGCACGGCAACGAAATGCTCTGATAAGAAGCATGGAAAGAGAACGAGATAAACAATGGAAAAAAATTGTTCGAAGCGTAACCGGACCGGCTGTGCTGACAGAGATAGAAATGCCCTGAGATTTTCACATGTTACAGGACATGGTCTTTTGTATGGACACATATTTTTATTTATTTTTACTGATATTTAAAAATGTTAGTATGTAAGTGGGTTAATATAGTACAGTCAACATATAGGAACAGTTTCTAATGCTGACTGTGAAGGTGAAATTTTATACAAACCTCCCGAGATGTAGTGAGAAGTCAGTCCTGATTTGTCTTACAAATTCTTCCACATAGTTTATTTCAACTAGGAAACATAATGCTTGCCGTTACCCGTGGTTACAGCAAATGCAAAGTTTGATTTATTTATCATGTATCATGTATGAGAAATAGATCCACTTATTCTTCTCTCCACATTCATTATACTTTGAAAATTCAAGATGCGATATTGATACATGCAGTCAGCTATGCTACACTGACAATTCTGTCTTGTTTTGATTCCTCAAGGTGTGGAAAATCAGCAAGATAATTCTAATATAAACACTGAGCATTGTAGTGGATAACGATGTGTGTGGCATATCTTTGTAGGAAACTTTGCGTTATATGCAAAATCAGTCTTTAAATATACATGATCCATAAACCCGTTGAACATCAAATTCCATATTTTTCACCTGTTCAAAAACACACCCGTATATTACAATATTTTTTCATAAATTATGATCAAGACCTGTGGGCATTATAAAATTGTGTCTATTTGGTCTAAATAAGAAATCAAAATATGTCAAATATTCCTTCTAAATTTGGCAGGGAAAATGGTTGATTTTCAAATGATATCACGTCGTGGCAGTCTGATGGAATTTTGGTCAATATCATGATTTGATTGCACACGTTGAAATCCACCGATATGAAAAATGCAAATGTAGCAATAAGTTTGCTTTATATTGACATGATTTGACCTTTGACTGCCTAGGTTGTACATTGTAGATCACCCTCACACACTGAGGATAATTTCTCTGGGGTTATTGCAAAACCAAAACTGGTATTTAAATATGATCATTTTAGATTGAAGTGTTAACAAATGTACAGAGAGGAACAAGGACTATCCCCCTCACTTGCAGCTAGGGTAATTTTTTTTTTGTAAAGCCACAACTGGTATTTAGAAGAAAAACAACATCGTTTCAGACTGGGAGATCCCCTCACTGGCAGGTAGAGTGACTAAGCTTAGAAAACTTTCAGTGCTACAACTGGTGTTCCAGTATGAATTAATATTTTCCAGTGCATGTCAATCTCAAGCAGCCAGTCACCAGAAATGTATTGCTATTGGTTTTTATCAAACACCAGACAAAAACAGGATGTGCTCCAGTGTGAGTTATTTAATTGCTCACTATGGGAATTGAGCTGATTTATTCAAAACAAGGACACTCCTTCAGTGAAAGATTTTTCTGGTGCAGTGATGTTTGATATTATGAATCTTTTTTATAAATTATGACGCTAAAAACAATTATGCAAATTAGATATTAAATGGAAGCTTTTATGTAAAATAATGATCTACACAACTAGCAGGGAAACAATGAAAGTTACCAAATTCACATGCATGGATTTGGTATCAAAATAGAGACACGTACATCAGAACATTACTTGCAGTTGTGTTTTGCACACATGAAAGCCAAAAATTACTTGCCAATTATTCCTGCCCAGCAAAACTGCTGCTAGTGCACAAAACAAATAACAATTACACAATCTTGAAACAATTTATTAATGAAACCAGAACTATACTTAAAACTGTATACCGGTATAAATGCTAGAAAATATAAAAAGCTTCTATAACTAGTTGAAAGGCAAAACTGACAATATGCAAAGTTACACGTCTTGAAATCTAGGAACTCTAAAATTACCTGAAAGTCCCACATGTGGTTCTAATTTCTTAAAACCAGAATCTTGTCATCCACATCACCAATATGGTCAGGAATTCTAACAAGTTTCAAAAGAGACAAGTCTTGTAAACTTTAGTAGGAATAAAATATTAATATTCACTGATGAAAATTGCTAGTTTTAATGCAACTCTTAAATTTTTGCTGGGATGAGAGTTAATTTGGTGCAGAATAATGGTACTGAAAAACAATTAAATTTCACAAGATAAACTATTTCCACTCCACCAAACAGTAAATCTGAATCAGTGACTTTTTCCAAAATTTCAACTTCAAGAATGCTTTATATGAAATATCAAATCACAAAAGCATATAGCAATATAACAATTTTATTTTGTTTTTTAGAACATCATTGTTGCTCCTATATACTGGAAAATAAAAGCTACCCACATAAAAATTATTTGTCTATCCCGTAAATCAACTGTATATCATTTGTGTGCCACTCATTAGCATACCTGATACTAACTTGGCAATATGCTTACACTACTGGAGGTGCATATAACCAGGTTAGTATTTTACACTATTCCTTTACACATGTTTGGAACCCAACAGTATAGAAAGATTTTTAAAATATATTATAAAATATAGTGTTTGTACAAATATCTCCATGCGTCATCGACGCAAGCATAAACACAGTTGATTTCAACAAAGAATGAAGCTAAAGCGGTGTCATCTTTCAAAAATTCACGATTTTTTATCTTTCTTTGATATTATTGGTATGATAATATAATGACACTGACGGTTTGTGCATTGAATTGGTAAACTCTGAATGATAGTTTAAATGTTTAACAATAAGTGTTTCATCTTTATGTATTGCATTAAAGACATATAAAACTTTGAGTTAAACATATACAGGCAGACAAAAAATGTATATATAATAATAATAAAAACTAAGGAGACAGATATGGAGGTTACAAACAAACAAATAGAATTTCAAGATTTCACCAGCCTTATAAAATAAAATAATATTTTTGAAAACTTGACTGTACATTAAAAATGAAATCTGTTTTTAAAGCGCAATAATGCAACCATTTTTCAGTGCTACATTGCAAAAAGTTAGCGATAAAAGACAATCTCTGCCAACCAACAGTGGTTCAGAATGCTGATAGGAGAAAAAAAAGATAAAAATAAGCAAATATAACTGAATGTTCACAATCAAATATTTATTCCTGACTGACTGAGATAATACTTGAAATACATTGTATTTATCCTATTCTTATCCAACTGCATGCTGGGATTCATTCCACTTCTGTATATCTTTATACATAGGTGAATTCTTGGAGTTCTTTCTTACCTTTTCAATCAATGCACTTTTAGACTGTCACATTCTCTACAGGATATCACTGTAAATCATTTTTATTTCATCAGACAAACTCTTGTAGCAGTCTGTCCGTACAGCTGATGCTGAAACTGATCAGGAAAACTTATCTCCTCATGATTCTCCCTTGCCACATTGCAAGTTTGTTTGTTATGACTGTCTCAAACCATTGGAACGGAAGAACACTCGCCTGCATATCACAAGTCAACTATTTGGCAGGACACTCAATTTTTAAGTGAAATTGTATGTTTGTTATCAAATAATAATTCAGTCTTCAAAGATAGAATGCTCATAGGATTCAATATTTTTTTATATTTCACAAAATTCTTTTGCTCAAAATCTGAGATACAAATCCCACTTCAAAGTGTTCCTCCACTGACAGTTTTTACTGTCCTCAAGTTACAAATAACCCTTGTGAAAATAGTTGCATCCAGGAGCATCAACTTGATAGAATTGAAATTGCCAAACAAACACAGCAGGCAATGTTCTACAAGTATTGCAATGTTGAAAAGAAGTTAAATAGCGGTTTAACTGATATTTGTTGGCAACTGCTGGAGAAAATTTTGTCTTCAAAAGATTATAAAACAGTGAATATTCCTAATGATTACAAGTATTCTAGCTACCATGTGAGGGTGACTTATTAAACATGGTGGGTGAAAGATTGTGTCCCCTGGAACAAAGAAAGATATTTTACTTAGTTCTGCATAGCACAGTTGTCCCTATTGATACACAGTCATGTCACATGTTAGGTTGAAGTGCTATGCTGCCAGTTACTTCCAGCTAACTTTCTCCAGTGAAATAAAAATAACCATGGCAATCACTGCTGTAATTTCACCAGAATATTGAAAAATTTAGTAGCAACTAAATTTAACCCAGGACAAGGACATTCAACAATATTGAATAGCTTTTATTTTGCAAGGACACATGACAGTAGTAGTGAAAATGTCTCTGAGATTCACGAGGTAGGGGTTCATGGCAATTTTCCTCCCATTTATTTCCCCATACATGCACTCAATCATGAACACCAGTAGTGAAAGTAAAGTACACAAAGACATCATTGGGTATGCATTATCTACACAGCAAAGTGAAAAGTTTTATCTCAACTCAACAAAAAAATATCAAATAATGTTACGGCAGTGTACACAGCAGGAAAGAGCTGAGAATTAGATATATAATGAGTATTGTTGACAGAGAGAGGTTTGAAGGAATAATCAGTAGCCAAATTTTACAGCATTCCTCAAAAGTATATGAAAAATACCCTTGCCGACCAAATTTCAATTAACATAGAAAATAATTAGTTCTGTATATGTCTACAGAAGGCTTGAAACAATAATATATAACATATGACCCTCATCAATCCCTCCCCCAAATCTATTCACATGTTATTGAGTTGGAGGTACTACAGTCCCACATGCATCATATAACTGATCTCTCATTTCAACAAATTGGAATGTCTAAATGACCAAATAAGGGCATGCAAACAACCATGAGCAAAAAGTCCCAACAAACAGTTAATTAAAAACAAAAAAATTATGCAAATATCACTTTGCATTTATGTTTCTTTGACCAGCCACATCATGTCACAGGAACTGTTGATTTAACACGCACTTCATGATCCACTCAGGATGTTAAAAATATTGTTATATGCAAATGAACTGGAATTTGAGAGAACATGAATACTTCAAAAGTGGAATTTCTGTTTAAAACATTTTTGCTACTTTTAAAAATTGTTTGTAACACTTTAGTACTGTTTGTTACTCATTTTTAAAAAGTGATTCCGATAATCCTTGAAACAGACAACACATTTATATGCACATTCCAAATAACTACGTCCGTCGGAGTCGTTTTGATGTTGTGGGTGACTGTGTTGGTGATGCAGCAGAGCGACGTGTTGTCCTCGTAGGGGTGTTCCTGTCAGATGTCAATCCGTTGGGAACTGGAGTTCCTGGGGGTGTGCTGGTACGACTACTGGTTGATCTAGCACGTTTGGATATTGGTTCATCCTCATCCATACTCAATGGTATTGGCGCATCCTGGCGGAGACGAGTCACTGCTCTGGCTCTTGGTGAACCAATTGGTGAAAAACCTGATGTTGGAGACATACCTGAAGTGGGAGAAAAAAACAAAAAGAGTCATGACATGTTTATAATGTAAAATTGCGACTATAGCAAAATTTTGATGTCATAAAACATATGATCCCCAACCACCCCCTCTTTTACTTACGAACACATGATCCCCAACCATCCCCTCTTGTACTTACGAACACATGATCCCCAACCACCCCCTCTTGTACTTACGAACATATGATCCCCAACCACCCCCTCTTTTACTTACGAACACATGATCCCCAACCACCCCCTCTTGTACTTACGAACATATGATCCCCAACCACCCCCTCTTGTACTTACGAACACATGATCCCTAACCACCCCCTCTTGTACTTACCAAGATGTTTCTCAACAGATTTCAGCATTTCTTCCGCTTCATGATATTCTCGTCTCTTTGATTTCATTTCTGGAGTGTTTTCATTTTGGAGCTGCTCTTGTAATTCCTTGTCTGCATTCAAACGTTTTATCATGGACTGCCTGTAATTCTGGAGAGTGTCTGTCAAGGAGAGAAAAGCATGCGAATGAATAGGACATCAGTGAGATAACGATGGGTGGGGGTCATTCTCTTGTCATTCTAGGATGGGTGGGAGTCATTCAAGGATAGTACTCAGTAGGAATGAGAAATCTCAATTCTTCCATTAAAACATAACCTAAATTCCTGAAAGTTTTTAAGAAATCAAGCAAAATGCCAGGTTAGTTTTCCAGATACCCCCCTCCCTCCCCCAATTAATGTGAGTGAGCATGCAATGAATTGAGAGAGCACAGAACTGATACCTCATTTATAGTATAACCAATGAGTACTGTAGCTACAAGTCCTTCCTAACACAACAAGATGTAATTGGTATTGTCAAACACCAACCGAGTCAAAAGTCACATGATTGACACCGCGTATTAGAGATTACAAGATTTGAAGATTGTCAATTAGAATACATACCTATCTGAGTACACAATGCATGATACTCAATTGGTAATGGTGCACCAAATACGGCTCCCTTTAGTTTATCAATCGGTAACGCTCTATTCTGCACACCACCAAATTTACCATTGCTACGGATTCTATCGCCCTCTCTGGTGAGGAGCGTTGGACAGTGAGAGATCCTGGTCACCTATTGAATAGATTGTGAAAAACGTCACATGATAAGAACATGTATTTGTACACAGTTTATTTCACAAATCGGCACTTCAAAGTTCAAAGAGCATCCATCAACCAATCACATTGATATCCTTTTAATCATGATATATTGAAATATATCCCACATCATAGACGCATCACGGTTTATGCATTAAATTGTTAATTTGCTCTATTGAAGGTGCATATAAACCACAAAGTATTATTATTATTGCACGCTGTCATGTCTTTTTGACCATGAACACTCCTCTGTCATTGACATACGTGTATGTGTTACAAATAGAAGTAATACACTATACGTTATCAATCAATTATAACATCACTGTGCACTGAGTCTAAAGACAACTTTTTATTATACGATTATTCAATGTCTGTATTGACTTACCTCTTGTCGGTAGTCATTTGCATCTTGTAAATTATCAAGAATTATAGTATCCCCAAGTAACATACCAAACACTGTCAAATAAAAATACACAAACCATTCAATAAGTATGGTATAAACTGGCACAATAAACTGGAAACCTGTCTATACTCGTGAACATCATTTTCAAAGCCTTTAGCCTTTACAACAGCTCTATTAAAACCTTCACAGTCCTTTTGGAGTTAAGGTTAGATTGGTTTCACTGTAAGTGAGTGTGTGTGCAACATATGAACTGAAGTCAATGACTCAGTATCCAACATAATTTCAGGTACGAAACGGAAAGATAGATACAGAAAACTAGGATCCTATCCATGGTGGCGACCATGCAAACACCCCTGTATTACAAATGGTATGATCTATAGGCTGCATAGATGTGTACACGACAAGAGGTTCAAACCATAAATATTCAGGTATCGTAGCTTACCAACTTTACACTCCTCTTTATCTTTGGTGAAGACTAATAAATTCCTTGCAAAAACTGGATTGCCTTTGGGACGAAAATTATTCTGTCTACCTCTCAAATGAGGAAGAGGCCTGAAAATAAACAAATAAACCAAATAAAAAAAAGACACATATAAAGTCGATAACAGTTTGAATTGGGTTAGGAGAATTTGTTTTCTAAACTTTTTTTTGCAAAATCAATTTTCAAAAAAGTGACAGATGTATAAAATGACTGCATAAATAAATCATGAACATCAGACTGTCTTGTGAGAATAAAAATGTCCATTATCTTATCAATACCGGTATATAAGATAGGACAGGAAAGCACAGGAATGCGATTCAGAGAATGATCATGTGTTGGCACATTTGGCATTGTACAATAGAAAATGTACATTGTTTTGATGGGAAAAATGGCGAGAACACAGTTAATAACTAATCATGGATAAAAAGTTGAGTCAGTCTTTTTGAGTATTCTGTCTTCGCAGATGAAATACAACCTGAATTACATTCTCAAACTTGATTGTTGTTCTGATGCAATTCATCTTCTCTGTTCAACTTTTCCCATGAAAACAAAGTGGAAGTTGCACATTTATATTTAAGATACAAACAAGTCAACGTACACCCCCAGTATTTCTGTCACTTATTGCATTACAGATACAAGCACAGTGGGAATGCTTTCAAGTCGCAATGCAAGGTGGGCAACACCAAACCACCATGTCATGATGATCTCCTTACAACTTACTTGTTCCAATCAGGTAAATTTTTTCTGTAAATTGAATCCAGTGGCAGTACTTGTTGTCTTCCGTTTGAAACTCTGTACACCTCCATAGCTTTAGTGTTAGTTCTCGTCACAACGCAATCCATATCGCTGGCCATATGCCAAGACAATACTCTCGCTATGTCATCATTTTCAATCGTAGCTAAGTGAGCAATCTGGGGTTAGGTAAAAATTTAATTTAAAAATATTTGTGATTATTGTAGAAAGATTATTATGTTGTGTAGGGTTAAATTAGTTGCAAGGTTCAGCGCCATATTCACATTCATTAGAATACTAGCAACATTCATTTTAGCCATGCTTTGCTAAACTATGATGTCATATTTGTGGGCAGCGCCCTCAGTGTCCCAAAATATACTAACCTTTTCTCTGTGTGATGAATAAACACCAGAGAACCACTGATATACAAAGATACCATAAATTCACATTTACTTTCACAATTCCTCCGGATTTTTAGAAATTCATATTTTGGCATTAGAAATGTTTGACCAGGTTTCCTACTTGTTTTTTCCAGACCTATACAAAGTTTAGCAACAATCATATTTGCTCTATTACAAGTACACAGATAAAGCACCGCAAATAAACCAATTCATAATTCTGAGATAAGATCAATCATCTTATTTTTGATCATAGACTCGCTTTTCAATACAGTGATTTTTCCAATTGTTTTTATAATAATTAAATCTTGGATTTATCTGTACCTTTCCAATAACATCCCTATCCCGTGGTGGTGCTGCTAGTCCACATTGTCGCCTTGGACGATGCAAGATGGTATCTCGTTCTCTAATTCTCTGTGAAACTAGTCCATCAACATTTGCGATCTGCAAACAATAAATCAGTTGGTATTAGTAGGGCACTATCTGTAAACTATAACTTACCCTAGAAAGGCATATATGCATATTTAACATGTTATTCTGATTCTATCATCATTTGACCGTCAGCTGACCTAATCAATAACTCTGATTTGTATGGGAGAATACTTCCAATATGTGCAATAGGCTATTTTCCGCTTCGGCCGAGATCTCGCGAGACCGTTAAATTTACCTAGCAACCGGTTGCTAGTCATGTGATACAGGTCAAGCTTTGAATCAAAATAGCGCTAAATCTTGCGTGTACCTAGTGTCGTGCGTTAAATTTCCCCGAGTGATTTATTGCATTTGTTTCACTGTTTCACGTTTCGACTTTGACAGAATGACCTTGCCACAGCTCGAAGACTTGCTGCGTAAATTCGGCGTTTCATCGTCCAGCTATAAAAAGAATATTCTTCTTGCAATCACTAAAGCTGTGCACGATTTGGAGCTCGAGGAAGACCCCGATTTTTTACGCCATGATCCTAAAAAAAATACATCACTTCAAGACTTAGCCAACTTGGTTGCAATTTCATCGATCCTTTGAAATTATTCGGTCTGTCCAATGATTTAATGTCAATGTGTTATCGGCACGACTATGACCGGAAGAAGCCCAGGGCCCACAAATCGTGCGAAGATTTAAAGTTGTTTGACGACGGGCATGTACATCTGTCCGTGTACTGGCATCACATGTCAAAGGCACATACTTCACATTACTGCTATTTTCACCGTTACCAGCGTTACAGCTTTTGAGGTTCCTAACAAATAACGGCCAATATTGCATGATTCACATATTACGATCAGTACAACTTGTAAACTGTATTAAACAGGTTTCAATGTTTTCCGGCGCTTCTTATGAATGCCGCTCGATCATGTCCTCGATCGAATATACGGCATTCAACACCTATCGCAATCGCTGTTTTTGGGTTAAATACGACCCTGAATGATCCTTTCCTCCCACAAAATACAGAAAACAAGCGTACACATGTATATGTCCTCGATGATTCCGTGTCGACCAAAAATGTCTGCCCGAGAACAGGCACTACACTTTTCAGACAGCGTTTTTAGTTTAGGGAATCGCAAAAAAAAAAGCAAAAAAAAAACCAGTATTCATGTAATTTTTGTACTGAAAGCGAGAATCACTCTTACATTCGCCATAAGTGCACCGTTTGACTCCCATTGGTGAAAATATTGTTTCGAGATAAGGTTTACAACACGTAGGACAATGCGGTTGCTATCGTATTAAACTGAAAGCTTGACCTGTATCACGTGACTCAATTGGTTGCTAAGGTACGTGGACCGTGGTCACGCGTGATCTCGCAGTTTGCAAAAAATGGCTTATTGATATCTTTTGAACACAATGTTAAGTTTTGATAACCAGAATGTCGAGTTTTGATAACCAGAATGTCGAGTTTTGATAACCAGAATGTTGAGTTTTGATAACCACAATGTTGAGATTTGATAACCACAATGTTGAGTTTTGATAATCCA